TCATTCCATCAACCAGTATCTCATAAAATGAGGTGTTGAAGGCTCCATAAGTAACGATGAACGGTTCGGCTCTGTTCCCTCTCCGTCCAGCCAGTTGACGTTGCAGTCACTCTAAATCGCTTCACCGAACCATCCACTTCCACACACACAAAAAATATTAACACCGTTAGCGGTGTAATTGCACAGTACATATCTGAGCACTTGAGGAAAGTTAATTTAGTCCCTTCCCCGCTTAAATTACTCGCGCTTCTAAATGAACACCAGGAAGAAGGTAATAGAGCACTGTTAGGAGGGTTGGGTGTTTTACTACATGTAGTTTAACCCGCGCCCCGCTGGGCTATTCAGCCATACGCGCCCTGCTGGGGGGGGGGGGGGGCAGATTCTGCCCCCCCTGTCTAACTTCCGAACCGATGGTCGTAGAAAGACGGGGAAAACGGCAATCGAAAGCTCTGAACAAGGCGGATCTAAAGAGCCCAATTTTTTTTGCTTAAGTAGGTCAGAGGTCAGGTCAAGGTCAGGTCAAGGGTACAAAATGCAAGTTTCTACAGTATCGGCCTTGCACCGTAGTTGCCGAAAAATGGACTGAGACTGATTGCCCAAAACGTGTTCTTAGACTACCAAGACAATATTCGTTGCATACAATGTCATTCAAAGGTCAAGGTCAAGGTCAGGTCAGGTCAGGTCAGGTCATCAAAAACAAAATATAGAAAAGGGCATGTGCGACACATGTTTTATGGGTCATTTTACTCATGTAATTCAATAGGCACACTCAATAAGTGATATGGACCACCTCTGGATGAATTTCAGGTCGAGGTCAGGTCAAGGTCAGGTCAAGTGAGGTCAAATTTTGAAGTTGGTTGTTAAGGCCTAAAAAGGTGTCTATCCGATGCAGTTTTTCACGGCGAATCGAATGGTGCTATTTTTGTTTCCGTACGAGGTCTAGAACTTCCAAAAAAAAATCATTTTTCAAAAAGTTTGTGTGTCGTGACGTCATAGAATTTTGAATAACTCCCACATTTTTGAACCAATTCTTCTAAAAATTGGTATGTAGGTGCACATAGACCACTTCTTTGACATATATTCCGGTTTTTTCGATAAACTCAAAATTTTTGATTTTATAAATATTTTCCCAAAAAAGTCAGTTTTTTGGAAAAATTTTGGCCAAAATCCAAAATTTTCAAAAAACTGAGATAGCCATTTGATAGACAAAGTAGAATCACGTATAACCTTTTTTGTTACGTCTTGATCCCTTTAAAAATGAAGATGTTAGCGGCGTTTGAAATTTTGCCGTTTTTGAGGCGAAAATGGCGAACATGACGTCACTAAAACGTCAATTTCTCAAAAATTTTCCGACGGATTTCGCTCAAATTTTCAGGGAACGTGTCAAATTGATGTATGATAAGGTACTGAAAGTTTGACGTCGCTGGCGTAACGCGTTTAGAAGTTATTGGCGAAAAACGGGAGGGGGGGGCAGATTCTGCCCCCCCCCCCAGCGGGGCGCGGGTTAACACCCAACCCTCCTAACAGTGCTCTATTACCTTCTTCCTGGTGTTCATTTAGAAGCGCGAGTAATTTAAGCGAGGTAGGGACTAAATTAACTTTCCTCAAGTGCTCAGATATGTACTGTGCAATTACACCGCTAACGGTGTTCATATTTTTGTGTGTGCATTGCAGTCACCCACGCCAACGCTGAGTGCTTCCTGGACTTGACACGACTTTTTGCTCTCTATGCCTATTTAGCACGCCTCTTAGGTACTCGGTTAGTGAGTAGTGACCAAATAGAAAAACAACAGAGATCATGCAACTGCATGCAGCTTCGTGGTTAACAAGGAGTGTTTTTACAGTGAGGGTGGGAAGGGTGCTCACAGATCAAATTGTCAATGTCATATTCAACGACAGAAATCGGACAAAAACTTGTCAATGTCATCCTCAAACACAGAAATCCCACCACGTTGTCTCCGCTCCTTCCGACTGCAGAACGGGTTCGGCCACTTCTCACCGTTCCTAAAGCGGTACATCTGCTGATATGACGCGCCACTGTGCGGTCTTCCCCAGAACCGGCCCGATCCGCTCGGCTCGGCCCGGTGTAGTGGTCTGACGACCCGGCGCGGCGGTCAGAACACTTGAGTCGAGGCTTTGCCGTTGTTCCCGGCGCTGTATGTAATTTAACCACCTCCCCCGGCCCTAAGCGTATTTCCGTCTGTCTCACCATACACGGGGTTCCCTACCGGCGGCGGTAGTGTAGGTATTCATTCAGAGGAGATCCCTCGGATCCCGCCAATGTACCGGAGCGGAGCCGGACTGACACCTGCTTCACGACACAGGCGAGGTGAGGAAGGCGTCTCACCACAGCTACCGCAGACGTACGTCAATGAAATGACGTCAGATCACGCGCCGTCACGCGGGAAGTGCGCCGTCAGTCTGACGTACGTGAATGGACCTGTGGACGACCTGTGGATTACACTGGCCTGCGTTTCAAAACTTTTTTCAAAAGGTCGGAGGTTTCTCAGCTATTTTTATACAAGTTTTGTGTGCTGAATCCGAAAAAGCTGTCCATTTTTCTCGATTAGCCCGAGTTTTCGAACTATGTCAAGGATAAAAGTTCACACACTTATGCATTTATAGGCACATTGGAGTGGGCATGCTGATATATTTTTCCCAAGGTTGGATATTTCTCAGCTGTTCTAACACAAGTTTCGTGTGCTGAATTCAAAAAAGCTATCCATTTTTCTCGATTAGCTCGAGTTTTCACACTATATCAATGATAAAAGTTCACACACTGTTATATTAATATGCATCTGGGAGTGGGCATACTAATACATTGTTCCCCAAAGTTGGAGATTTCTCAGCTGTTCCATAATAAAAGTTTCGTGTGCTGAATCCAACAAAGCTATCCATTTTTCTCGATTAGCTCCAGTTTTCACACTATGTCACGGATAACAGCTCACACACTGATATATATTAATATGAATCTTGGAGTGGGCATACTGATGCATTTTCCCCAAAGATGGAAGATTTCTCAACTGTTCTGATGCAAGTTTTGTGTGCCGAATTCGGAAAAGATATCCATTTTTCTCGATTAGCTCGAGCTCCCACACTATGTCAAGGATACACACCGATGCATTAATATGCACATTGGAGTGGGCATGCTGATACATTTTGCACTTTTTTAGGTCCCATCTCGATTATTTCCCAGAAAACTGGTGCGATAGGCGTCATCACAAGTGTATTCGCGGCCATCGGGGCGACGTAAGAAAAGAAGAAAACATCTGGCCCCAAGAACTTTGAATTATCAGTTAGCATGCAAATTTTCCTTGATGTTTAGAGAATCTACGAATAATTATTAGAGCAAATTGCATTTAAAATTTTCCTATTATGTTTTTTCCATCGTTTGAACAATATTTTCTTTTACTAAGCTAGAAACACTGATTATAAATAGTTCCAGCATCATCGTCAAGAACAATAAGGACGGCTTGAAGTGAATACAACTATCTAAACGGTTTTGTAAGATGTGAAGATCACTTCTAAAATTGCCTGTAGAAATATTGAAGGCAAAAGTTCACCTTTTTCACAAGACGGATGTCTATAAACCTATTCAACGTGTGACAACTCAGCCGGTATTTCGTCGCCTACAGCCCAGCTTTCCCTAATGACCGCTAGAGGCGCTGCTATCGATGTCCGCCCGTACCGCCTAACGGATTGTAGTGAAGAGCAGGTAGAATGTTTCCACAAAGACTGTGTGGCCACAAAGTGTGATGGAAAAACGGTATAAGGGTCGGTGGGACGTCAACTTCCTGGTGGACTATTGCTGGTGCTTGAAGAGGGACGTCCCATGTGCTCAACACAGTCGAAAATCCGTGAAAAGGCCATTTGTGTCACAGCAGTGCGTGTGTACTGTAATCGGATCTCACTTATAGTGGGTCAGTTTGCAGTTTAAACATATATATGCTTCTGTGTGATTAAATATACTAAGCCAATCAGCATAGCTGTGAACATATGAGCAAAACGACGTATCTTAAAAAATCGAGCTAATCGAGCAAAACGGATTCCATTTCCGGAATCAGCGTGAAAAACTGACCTATAAACAGTTGAGAAACCATTGACCTTATAAATCACGCAGACCAGTGTTATCAATGTTCATACAGTAGGACATGCATTACGTTCATGTAGTAAGACAGTGTTTTATTTTTTTTTCTCTCTCGAAAATTTGGTCTGAACAATCCAACGACCACCCATGGACCCTCTGCCACTTCTTTCATATCTCTCGGTTAATGGTAATAGCTAACATAAAATTTCACATACAGGAAACACAATTTGACGTTGAGCAATGGGCATTATTTTTTGTTTCTTCTTTTTTTTGTGTGATTTTGATTGGCACATCAATGCACCGAAAAAGCGAAGAAGCGCCCGTTAATAATGCCAACTTTTACTCAACATATTGCGGGTAAAATATTACGGTAAAAACTCGAAAGAAATTTGTCCACAAATGGTAATCTTTTTGTTGTCATGCGTGTTTGACATATTGTTATCCATGTCATTCATGCATTATGTAACAGCTCGTTGTCTAAATATTCACTTGAGTCACTAGAAAAGCACTTGCAGCGTAGGTTACCATTGCGGAACAATCGGTGTCAAGGTCCCAGCTCCCGGCGAGGGCTCCCTCCCAGCGCTCCCACGTGCGAGTTCAGGTCCCCAGTCTCCACGGCAGCCAGACAACACCTCGCTGGGTGTCTCAGGTAGGACCCCTGGCCTCTCACTCCCTCCCTCCCACCTCCGCCAAAACATCTGATCCGATTCGTATCCGTATTCCCCACGTAAGGGCCCACCTGTCTTTCGCCGTCGGACGGTGTTCGAGACTGTCCGGACCGGAGACTGTACCGGCTCGCTCCTCGGCACGGGGTTTTTCTCTCTGGTAGCGAAGCGTCATCGTGAGGGAGGGAGGGGAGGGGGAGGGGAGGGGGAGGGGAGGCCGGGAGGATCCAGGTGGCGGCCGGCTATAGAGCCGGCCGCCGGCACAGGGGCTCATCAGTTGGTGCGCGGTGCTGAGGAGGGGAGGATCCGGAGCGTGTGAGGTGCAACTTCACCTGGAGGTGTGGCACAGAGGAGAGGAAAACATCGCTTCTGTTGCTGCTAGTGGGAACAAGGTGAGAAAGATGAAACTGAATGGGCACGGCGAGATCCGGAGGTTATATAATTCGGTATTTCGGCTAATATGTAGCTAATACTTTAAACGGCAAACAGCTAATTTTTCCAGATTTGCCATGTGACCTAATTCTTACCAAGTTAATTTACATGTGAATTTAACTTTGAGGCGCTCGAATAATATTGATTGGATAGGTAGGTGTAAGAATATAGTGATACAAAAGCCTAGACGAAACATGCACCGTGCAACAAGTATTGCAATACTTTTTCAGTTTATCTCGCTAAGGTAGACGGAAACAAAAAGTTGTCCTGCCTCCAGTACGGAGCGTAATTTGAACGTACAGAGCGAGCCCAGTGCAGTACGGTGTCCTTCAGCCGGCCGGCTGTCCTGACACGTGTGAGCCACCGCGGACCATCTACCGGCGGGCTGACGCGTCCAACAGGGGTGTCCATCCTCAAACTTTACGCTACACCTATTGATCGAAACACATAGCTTGCTTCCCACACATGTGATCAGATGTCTAAGAGTGCTTATTACAATAAGTGACCAACGTAACTAAACGGCGATAGTCCAACATTGATATCACCATGCATCGCTGTCCAACATGGCGCTTTGCATATTCGAGTCTACCCTGCTCGTATCGAGCCTGGCGCTTTGTTGCCCGTTTGTCCTTGGCAGTAACCAGGCAAAGTCTGACCACTCAGACCCCGGCCGGTTTTCGCTGTTAACTGCTAATGAACAACACAGACTGGATCTGCCGCGGCGAGGTGTAGGGAGCGGTTATCGTTATGGCCTTGTCGTACACTGGCCAGCTCATTTGTAGCGATGAAAGGCACAGGGAAGACGGAAACACTAATGGCCTGAGAATGCTCAAATTCTAGCGTAGAGTTGCAATTACTTAATGATGATCATGTGAGATACCAGTTCTAATCTTGCCTGGTTTTCCTATCTCTGTCCAAAATAACCCGAACATCGTTTCAATCTCGAGGATTTCACATGTGAATATAACCGACACGGAAAGGTTTGTGACCTCTAGGTCGCTGACTTGACCGTGTAGTTACCGAAGTAGGCACCCGGCCAAACCAGTGTAACACCTATAGGATTATCGACTAGCCGTGCCCTCTTGCCACATTTCTAGCGGGCTTCAGCCTCGTATTTAGCAGTCTTATCTGTAGGCTGACATTAGCCGCGTAGTAATTTATTGGTGGATTGCGGCGCACACATTTACCAAGAACTCCCAGTACCTAATCCGAAGGTTGACCTCAAAACAGGGGTAACTGTGTAATGCAAGGCATTGTTATAAGTACACAAAAGGTAATCACAAGATATGAAAGAGCAATATTTCAAAGATAGAAAAAACTCAAGGTACTTGCCAACCTACCTGTCATAGCAAATAAAAAGTCGGTACATTGCCTGCATAGAACAAAAGTGCCTCCCCGACCAAGCTACAAACTCAGGGAGAATAAAACAATCAGCAAAAAGCCCAGCTGTCATTTATTCACATCATTGCCATAGCGGCCTTGCCACTCACTTCAACACATTATCCGCACTTCCACATACTTGATGACACATTTCCGTTTTGTTTCGCGCCTGTCCTGAGCTCCTCACCGAAGCGGTCGGAGCACGTGGCCGTTTTTCCAGCCCCCCCCCCCCCTATAGCGATGCTCGCGCCGATAAGGGCCGCCCGGAAACCGTGCACGCGCCAGCCTATGACGTCACCAGGGCTGGAAAACACGGCGTGCCGGGCGCGAGGTTAGCGTCTTGGCCGCCGCTGCAGTCCCCGGCTAGTGCGCGCCCGGGCGTCGCAGTCACCATTATTAGCGGGAGTGGTACAGCATGTGTGTGGGTGAATACGATGGGGGGGGGGGGGGGGGCTCGGCAAGTGAATGAACACACACAAAGACGTGGCGATCTTTGTCTTCAAGGCTTGAAGCACGTTTTCATCAAGGAAATAATTTTGATTGTTGTCAAATATTAGATGAGTGCAGCACCTTTACATGCATGAAGCCGATGATACGAAACTGGCCCTAAGAGCGAATCAAATGAAATAACCCCACAACATGTTTCATTCAGTCCTCCTGCTCCGTTTCTAACTCTTTCCCGTCTCCTGTTTCAGATGACGCTCACAATGCGGCTAGCAGCCGTCCTGCTGGTCTGTTGGACGGTGGCGAGTCACGCCGAGGCTCGCGAAAAACGACAAGGTTAGTCGGGTGACTCAGCAGGGAAGAGCGTGATCAGAGCTTGTAGGACTGTACTTACAGTGCCGATTGCAAAATAAACAGGAGACATGTCTCTAACTGTTCGTGTGGACACAACTGTTGTGGTTTGTTCATTATGGTCGGCCAAGTCATCCCTTAATCATTTTTGGAAAACACATATAGCCGTTCCCTTTGAACTTTATCCTTTGAAATAATTCCATCACTAATATCATCAGCAAGCTCAAATTGTTCAAGGACAAACAAGTATTGTATAATCCGAAGCTGTTATCCGGTGATACGATTTGCGGGCTCATTTTGATCTCTGTCGTTTTCCACTGATCTTCCGTTGGATGTTCTCCCCGTGTCCTGTCTGTGACCTGACCTGTCGATCTGTCCCACCCTGCAGCGATTCAGTTTGGCGTCGAGCCGCGTCCGTTTGACTCAGACTGCGTGGACTACGCGCGCCGGCCGGGCCGCTGCGGCCCGCTGCGCGACTGTCCCGGCTGGCTGCGGGTGGTCTCCAACCACCCCAGCCAACAGGACGTCCACAACCTGAGGAACAGCCTGTGCGGCCGGACTCCCAACCAGGTGCCGCTCATCTGCTGCCCGCGCAGCGCCGGACCCATCAAGGAGACCATCCAACCGCCCACCGCACCACCCACCCGACCCACCCCCCGGCCCACCGCGCGGCCCACGCAGCCGCCGCCGACCCGGCCTCCGACCCCGCGGCCCACCCAGCCGACCGGCGGCGACCGGGTGCCCGAGGAGCACCCCAACCGGCGCCTGCTGCCCAACGACAACGCGTGCGGCATCAACATCCACAACCGGATCGTGGGCGGCAACGTGGCCGACCTGGCAGAGTACCCGTGGCTGGCCATCCTCGGATACGAGGGTGAGTAAACTGAAAGGACGCGCTGGTGGTGTGTAGAACTGGAGCGACTCGGCTTCTAGGCGCTTTAGCGAACGCCGCTTGCAAACACTGATACAATTAACTTCTCCGCTGACGGTTGGGCTTCTCGGCATGACCCAAGCTCGACAGAAGTAGTCGTAAACTCTCCTAAGTGGAAGCCTTCCCATCTGAACGATCGATGCGACGGAGAAAGTTGGTCCCATACCAGTTACATCATCCTTTTAATTGTCAAGTGATACGAGCTGGTCCCTTTTCGGTTCATCAGCACCTGAGGCAGATACCGTTGTTTGATAAAGCTGGCGGACAGGTTCTGTGCCTGGTACTGTCGCTTTCAATTCATGAGAGGCAACGCAGGAGAGGACGCTGCTGGATTAGAAGACAGGTTTTATCCTCGTATTCGTGTTTACTCGACACTGAGATAGCTGAGTGTCATGACATTACTAGGAGGGTGTCAGGGGCTAAACTCGTTCCTTCTGTGACACTAAGCCGGCTCGTCCTGCCCTGCCACCACCGCACTCTGACGGCCCTCTCCATCCTCCCCTGGCTCTCCCGCGGCCGCTCGATCCGGTCCCGGTTCCCACTCCCGTGACTGGCCGATAGTACCGCTTACCATGCCGTCTCTCAGACGGGATTGCGGTCACAGGCGGAATGCTTATCGCGTCCCTGACAGCCGCAAATGCGTCAGACACTGCGCCGTGACATTTTCTGTGAGACTGAGATTGGTATTGAATCACGAAAGTGACAGGGTTGTGAGGATAATAGGCCTATTTGGTTTTTATGTCTTTCTAGATGTAGACCCCGTATAATTTTCAACTACGACTACCTTCCATGCTTGTCTTTATGTGGAAGAACATGGTTGATGAACACCATCATCAAGGCCGACCAATTCCATTCGTCCCGTTAACCAAAACTGTCCAAATATTAGCCGTTACATACAGGCATTAAACAAAACGCATGGAACAGGAAAATTATAAATAAAACCATGCCACTGTCATCGAGACCTCTTCGAACCATATCTGACCACTGACCCCCCCCCCCTTCAGTGGTCGGCACCGGCTCTGTGGAGTTCAACTGTGGTGGCACCCTCATCAACAACCGGTACGTGCTGACGGCGTCCCACTGCGTGGTCAGCTTGCCGTCCGACTTCCGACTCACCTCTGTCCGGCTGGGAGAGTACAACCTGCGCACCGCCGTCGACTGCCAGGTGGTGAGTATGATACAGCGAGTAAATACAGTACAACCTGCGCACCGCCGTCGACTGCCAGCTGGTGACTAGATACGACCTGAGACAGTACGGTACAACCTGAGGACGGCAGTGGGCTTTGTGACGCACATATATAGGAGAATTGGGACATGAATTGGGACAGGTCATGAATAAGATGAGACAGGTTGAAAGTACATTAGAGTTGGTGGAAAGCGAATAATGCAAAGGTAGATATGCATAACATGCAGTTTGCAGTCAGCATCGGTATGCGGATAAAATCACCGCTGCCTAGGATGATAGTCTGATAAATCTTTTGGACATGGGAAGCCCCGTATGGCATACCTTACACGAAAAGGCCTCTATAATCATTCAGTGACATCGTCACTTCTAGCCACAATGACCGATACAAGGGCAGTGCTTCAAAGGTCAGCTCGTGGCATCATCGCCAAAAACACATGCAATAACAAAATATCCCAATTAGCAAGTGTTGTTTTCAAATAGTTGTCATGCTCGATATGATCGTGATTCAAGCGTATGTGATGGCAAATCCACGTGGAAATCCCCTCGCGTGAGAGGACCAGTCTCAGTTTCGTCGTAAGCATAAAGCATTTGACCAGACTGTGTGATGCGTCACCTCATCAATGAACGTTTCTATGAGAAATGCATGCATCACTTATAATAAAACGACATGAGTCGTCCAGTACGTATCATCGTTATACCCTAAAACGAGGAAAACTACGATGCGTTTCAAAGCGTCAAATTACCTTCAGACTTACGAGTAGAACTAAACACACATATTCAAATAAGAGATGAAATTCATAATGCATGTTAGGATATGCAAACCAAGCACTACAGGCCCCCGCTGAAAAGTTCAAGTGAAAATACTGTTTCGTCTTCCTGATGCCATGCTATGCAAAACACGCAGAGACTAGCGACATTAGAGATGGACGGAACTTTCCAAACCACTGCAGCAAACTTTGACCGAGCCCGGTCCTCCCTCTCTCCTTGCAGCAAGGAGGCCGGGAGGTGTGCGCCGACCCGGTGCAGGACTTTGGCATCGCCCAGGTGATCGCGCATCCCGACTACAACAAGCCGAACCGGTTCTGGAACGACATCGCGCTGCTGCGGCTCGACCGACAGGTCCAGAACAGCTGTAAGTAAACTATAGACAGGTCCAGAACAGCTGTGAGTACCGACAGGTTTACCTGTGAGTACCTTCAAGTCCAGAACGATCATTCACGGTTAAAGCTGAGCATCCATCACGGCTCAGTTCAGGGCCCTAGTGTCACCAGCATATAAAATTCTAGCGATAGATGATCTAAGAGGCAGCTGCCGTAAATTGCTCAGAGCGTTCCTTTGGCGCTGGCTACCTGCCCGAGGCCGGGACCTGAAGATGCCGACATTTCGCGTGCCCCAAGGATTATTTCCACTGTCCCGAAACCAACCCTAATCCCTTACCGTGAAACGCTGTTACCGGGAGCGAAATGTCGAGAACGTCATCCTCCGGGTTCCTTCCATGACGAATTCATAAACAGGGGGGCGTTGTTTTTCACGGCCATTAGCTCCCGGTTCTCCGGCGTTGTCTGTGGTTACACGAGCGTGCACTGAGCCCTCCACCCTGTCCCGATCAGCCCAGCCTGTATGTTAGTCTGCCTGCCTGTCTACCTGTCTGTCCAGGCGGTACCAGGCACCAGGTGCAGGCCTCAAAGCGGAGGGCGGCATGGAGCGATGGTCGTGAATAGTGTGTATCCACGCCATCGAGTGTACCCATAGCAAATACATAGCTCACTGCACGGTATCGTCTGACCAGCGCCGTGTCACGACACGGAGAAAAGCGGCTTATGTAGGCACACGAGGCCAGACTCAGTCACGGTCATTTGGAGAGAACTGAAGTCCTGAGAACAGACGTACAACACCCCATGAACTCTCAAGTCCCGCCTAAAGCATTACGCAATTCCACAAACTTCCCTGCAGACCCAGCGTTAAAGGCTCTGCAGACGACAGTCCTGGCAGGAGCGTTTACAGCTCAGCACCCTGACGCCATTCCTCTCTGTTTGCAGTATACGTCAGCCCGCTGTGCCTCCCATTCGGCGACTGGAGGACCCGGGACCTCGGTAACACCAACCTCTGGGTGGCCGGCTTCGGACTCACGCAGGCCTGTAAGTATGGATGGGTCCACACTGATTGATCTTTTTGAAACGTTTGACACAGACTAGATAACGAATGTTCATGGCTAAGGAATTAAAGCTGCTATCAATTACAACTTGTGCCAAAAACCCTTACTATCCAAGTTTATTATAAATGTTCGTTACACCTCGCCCGCCCATTGTCTGTCCCTTACTGTCCACTCCTGGTCTAAGGATTGGTCAGCACGTGTCGCCGTCTGGGTGAGGCCGGATGCCACTGTAATCACCTCACTTTACGGAACCGGACGTAACAAACAGACTTGTCCGGCCTCAGGTCCGGTCTAAGCCGGGTTCAATTATCAAACTTCCCGTAATCACCGATAATTGGGTGTCTGCACCAGGACGGAAACAATACGTTAAAGAGCATACGCAACAACAAACAAAGATCGAAGTGCTCAAAAACGCAGCAATAATGACTAGTAACGAGTAGATTTTTCTCGCATCAGCGCCTGAAAAGCAAAGTAGTAAGGTGTGTGCCTCGGTAAAATGAAGCGTGATACTGCGTTCGAAGATAGCAGCCTCATCCTTATACATTGTGGCATGACACTGCACCCTATTCCGTTGGTAGTAATTGCTTGCTCGTCCCCCACCATCAACCCTCCCTTTTTGGCAGCCCATAAACGACTTCTCGTGGACCCCTCCCAACAGAAGACATGCAGTTTAGAGGCCGTTTTTGACAAGTCTCCCTGCTCTATACACGGTACCAGCACCCATCTCCCTCTTCTCTCGACGTGGTCGTTTCTGACGCCCCATATCTCCCCTCTCCCGCAGTCGGCGACTCGAGTGACCTGCTGATGGAGCTGAAGGTGCCCGTCGTGTCCAACGATCAATGCGCCCAGGTGTTCCGCCGACAGCAGGCCGTCATCGGGCCGAACCAGATGTGTGCCGGCGGGGAGGCCGGCCGCGACTCGTGCTCGGGCGACTCGGGAGGTCCTCTGATGGGAGTCAACCAGTTCGGACCGCCGTACAGGATCGTGGGCGTGGTGTCGTTCGGCGTGACCCGCTGCGGCACGGCCAATGTGCCCGGAGTGTACACCCGGGTCGGGCAGTACCTCAACTGGATCATGGACAACATCCGGGCCTAGGTGACGACCAGGGAGGTACGACAGATGTGCTGGAGTAAGAAGAATGATGGCACAGAGAGCAAATAAAAAGGAGACCCGGCGAAGGGGAGAGCAAGGAGAAAACTGTCCAAGCTGTAGCGTCATGGAGAGTACATCGACTGGGACGCTATCGGATACCATAGATGTCGCTTTGTCCTGAGGACAGAACACCCGAGGTCGAGACGCGGTGTTGGAGCGAGGTGCACCGATGGAGACGGTTGTGGGCACCGGTTGTGCTGATTAATACGAAATAACTTTTATGTACAATTGTGAAATTGGAATTATACTGCTTTCGGAGATTATTGTAATTTTACAAAGTGGTGTTCTGTTGTGCACTGCTTCATCTAAATAATTAAAACGGATTAAAAGCGATTGTGAATTGGGAGCGGATGAAAGCAATGTTGTCAAGTTTCATCAAGGTCAATCAAGTTTGAAGAATCGTGATCCAAGTGACATTAGAACTTGTTTCTGAACTACTCAAATGACCATCAACTTTGTGAGTGTAAAACTTTTTAGCATAATCGTGCGTTTTTACATGCATCCATAATTAGATGATAGGGTTTTTGGGCCATGAACTGATAGAAGTTTTCTGTCATAAGCATTGTACTCATTGGTCATGCTCAGTTGAAACATCTGTTGTTAAATGCAAGCCGTATGTGTGAATATATGAAATGTATGATAGTATGAATGTACCGGAAGTCGAATAAGTGAATGAGGATCGCTGTTACGATGTTCAGTGATCATACGTTGACCACCATTTTAGTATGATATTGTGGTGATGTATGTTATGAGCGCAATGAAACAAATGCTTGTTTTAGTGCTTATGACTTGCTTGGAGCCCCACTGAAATGGTGAGGTAAACGAATAAAACGGAAACGAAAACTTATGCAGTTTATGAAACTCACGAAGATGCTATGGTAGGTAGGCACATCAAAACAAAGAAGTGTAAAAACAAAATGTCAGAATGTGGGATCTCTTCGATCACCTAATAATTGTCTAAAAACCTAAAAAGATGGCGGCCGCTGGGTAAATACTAGAGGTTCTATAAGCTAGCGGTTTGAAGAAGACGATACTATGTATGCTGCGGGTCTAGGTTAAGAGAATGTCCCATATGGGGCTCAAACGGACGCCGCCCTCGTCAAGGTTCATAGTGGCCTGTGGCGTTAGCTTGACCTCTATGGCTTCTCGGACCTTGCGCCTCTTCCAGTGACCTTCAGTGGCTAGCGTCATTAATTACAAATAAACATTACTTTAATTACATTAATAAACATTAATTACATATAGTCCTGAGGAAAAGTTTTTTAATCATGACACTCAAGTCATATCTCAGTATCAATATTTCTTAGGTATAGTATGTGTCTTGAATACCGTTCATCTAATGTCACCGGTTACCCATCAACGAGAGACGGATAGAGGCAAATGTCCCTCCCGACTTTTCACAATTTTCTTTTTTAAGCGCTTATTTCGCCAAGAAATGAAGTGAAGTGAAGTAGTGACTTGCTATCGAGAGCTTATTGAAACATAGCGTCACGTCAGCGATAAAAATGCATCGATAATTATCGCTTACGCAGACCGACAGCGCCGTAGCGGCCGACATCTGCACTAATGACTGCACCAATTGTAGGTGGCAGCACACTCCCGGGTATTTAGCACCCGACTAAATGTGCCGTTAATCGGCTCAGTTCTGCCGTAAGCCGCGATCGTCCGATTACATATCACACACCCAGTGTGAGAGGCCGGGAATTCAAGGCCAGACACTGCCGGCTGCACCTCGGCCGGTCTGAGGCCGTGGGTCGGGCTCTCAGCTCTGCATCGCGGAGGGAGCCTCTACCAGCCAGTCGTGGAGTCCGAGGGAGGGGCTAGAGGAGGCGCATAGCCCGTGTACGTACGGTACTACTGACCTCACATCAATTTGCATTCCATAATGGCAATAACATTGGAGGGAGTACGTAGCAATGCTTTAGGTACCAATAAACACTACGCATAGGAAAAATAGGAAGAACATTAAAAAGAAGCGACAACAAGAACCCCACGCACCAACTATCCTGATAAAAATGGTGACGGATAATTTCTTATCAGACTTTGGGAAATACCAATAAAAACTACCCTTCCGTGCCCACCGGTGATGCTTCCCTGCTACAGGATGACGGTCACCCCATCAGCCAACCGGGGTAAAGGGGCAGCTCGCGCAGAACCGTGCCGTCTCCGGAGTGAGCGTTTGACTGCAGCTGGGCGATTTCGTCCTAACCTAACGGTACGATCTAGGTCGCACATGAAACTATGAACATTGGTTTAAACTTGTGTTCTGGCGTTATTACGAATTGCTGGCTATGCCTTTGAAGTTTGTTAGAACTTGCTTCAAAGCTTTTAACCCGCGCACCGACGGGGGGCGGATATCCGCCCCCCTGAGGTTTTTCGCGGATAGCGGGAAAACCGCGGCGCGTAGCGCCGCGAAATTTGGTATGACTATTCTCTCATCAATTTTACACATGGTGTGCAAGTTTGAGCCTCCTAACTTTCAAGGCCAGGTCACCAGGTCACTTTGAATGACCCAACCTCAAGTCACTTTTTTGCAACTTTGTCACCGTGCCAGAGCTACAGTAGATGTCGGAGGCCTTTGAAAGTCGCAGGATGTTATTAGGTCATTAGTAGCTACAATTTGTATATCTCGGAATTTTGATGTCGGTGACCTAAGGTCAGGTCAATTTCGCGACCTCCCCATTATAAGTCAATGGGGGAAAAATCAACTCCCTGTTTTTACCACTAAAACGGGTCGGAATGGCCCCATATACCATACATGACTTCATATACGATCAACCTTCACTACCTTGAGGTCTGTTTTGCTGTTGGGCAGCTGTAAGGTCATGTGACGTCATCAAAGGTCACCAGCGGTTTTTTGCCAATAACTCCGTACAGGAACAAGATACAGCCGCGCGGATGGTCTCATTGTGTTCAGCTCGTCAAGACGCATCGAATGATATACATGATGACCTCGAGGTCACGTGACCTGAGGTCAACCTTTGACCTTGACCTTTCGAGGTCAACATATATGTCATTCGATGCAGATTGACGAGAGGATCACGATGATGCCCTTAGTTTGTTCCTATCTTGACTAATTCGAAAGTTATTCGAGAAAAACTCTCCATATCTAGCGCCGCCATTTTGACTTTTTCGACCCCTGTGACGTCATCTTTGACCTGACCTGAAAATGACCTTAGTAAAAATTGTAGACCTTGTCCATGCGTATCCGATGCCGTTTACCGCTTGTCGCTATCTTGCTTCGTTCTCGAGATCTCAGGGGGGGGGGCGGTCATCCGCCCCCCCCCCCGTCGGTGCGAAGTTGGCGCAGACCCCCGTCGGTGCGCGGGTTAAAATTCGTTTTGCGACAAATTTTGATTGACGTTTTTGTAATCGATCTTCTGGAGAGCTTCGAAATAAGACAGAAAACAATGTTTGTTCCCTTTCCGCTGCGAGGTCCGTCACAGTCGATGAAGATCCTTGACTCATTTGAAGCTTATGGGGGCAAAGAGAAACTGCAAACGGTTAGGGAAAGTTTGGGAGCGGTTTGCTTTTTTAGTTGGAACTTGCCCGTCTTAGAACAATGGCTTAGGTATCAGGTTTTAGCCGTAACTGTTCAATAAAAATGTCAATTAAAGGGTTGGGAGAAGGCCGAGCAGCGGAGACTTAAGCGATCAGGCTCTAAAACTGCGCCGGTAACACGTAGGCATTAGTAGAGCAATATCGGCAGACCATTACCCATGCAAAAAGCCCACGAGTTTCGCAGTAAGAAGAGTTTTAGTGGGATTAATATCGTGGAAATACCTACGGTGGCAGCGATGGCATTAGCTCCTTATTTGTGGAGATGTGTTCAACGTCTATTCCTCTTCACCTTTATGAATCGACCGCAAACCGTTAGTATCAGCTATGACGAGAATCGACACATTGCTGGAGACTCTTCCCAGTAGCAGCAGTTCAGTGAAAGCCGTCCATTGTCGGCGTGTCTTCCCGACGGGCGGGGCCGGCCGGCCGGGAGTTTTGTCCTTGTATTCAGTCCAGTTAGGAGAGTGAGCGGCCGTCGCCTGCAGGGAGGAGAGCCGGCCCGACCAGCTCGGGTCGGCGCGGCGGCCGGCCGGCGCGCCGGCGCTCCCCACACCCTCTCCAGCCGGCCGGCCACGCAGACATGCGCCCGCTGCTGCTCTGCGCCTCTCTGCTGGCGCTCAGCGCCGCCCCGGCGCTGGCCCAGGGCCGACGCCGCACCGCCGCCCAGCCGTCCGCGCCCCGGCGCAGGCCCGCCAGCCGCGTGGTGCCCGCGCGGACCACGCCGGCGCCAGAGGTGCCCGAGTTCGAGTCCGAGTGTCCGCTGCGCGACGGAGTGTTCGCCGACGCGTTCCAGTGCGATCGCTACTACGAGTGCCGCGACTACGTGATCACGGAGAAGCTCTGCCCGGACGGCCTGGTATTCAACGACATCAGCCCGACGCTGGGCCGCTGCGACCAGGTGTTCTCCGTCAACTGCACGGGCCGCGAGGAGCTGCAGGAGGCGCAGCCGACCGGCGACTGTCCGCGCCAGAACGGCTACTACGCCGATCCCGACCCGACCAACTGCGGCACCTTCATCCACTGCGTGGACGGCGTCAGCAACCGGGTGGAGTGTCCGTCGGGCCTGGTGTTCTCGCTGCAGATGGGCACGTGCCAGTGGCCCGACCAGGCCGGCCGCACCGGGTGCTCGTCAGCAGAGGTGCTGGCGTTCGAGTGTCCGGGCGCCGGCGACCCGCGACTGGCCGGCGCGCCCGCCGACCTGCCGCTGCACCCGCGCTACGCCGACCCGGCCGACTGCCAGTTCTTCTTCTCCTGTCTGGACGGCGTGGTGCCGCGGCGACACGGCTGCGAACAGGGTCGCGTCTTCAACGACGAGACCAAACAGTGCGACAAGCCGGAGAATGTGCCCGAGTGCAACTACTAGAGCGTAGACCGGCGGGGAATCGGTAGGAGACGCCGCACAGAACCAGTTCGGCAGTGCGAAGTGGTTATCGTCCAAGCCGGGTGTCGTTTGAAAACCGGCGTGGAGACGTCAGTTGACTGATTATCCTGTTTGTCTTTGTTGCTCATTGTGTAAATGTACGTTTGTGTGAAACGTGCAATGCTCGTTAAAAGCATTGGCGGGTTTGCATAATACACATGCATATCATCATGATTTGCGCCTTTAGTCGCCAGGATAAAACGCAGCGCCGGCCAAGCGCTATCAATCACGCAACGATCGATTTGAAGCATGACTGTCTTGTGCATCTCGAGAGTCATGCCTGAATGCATGTAAGGATTTATCTTAAGATAGCTGGTTCCAATTGCAGACTATCGCAATCTCACTTTGTTGTTATATTTGCATGCAGGGACCAAAATCACCCATCTGGGTGAAACTGTAAGCACTTGTCGGATGTCACCTTTGATAAAGACATGTTGGGAATGGGCTCGAATATAAAAATAAAAACATGACTACATGCATGAAGGTTGTGTCTGTCTCTGAAATGTTCTGCATAACATATTACCTACTCGGTGGGCAGAAAGATGACAAACGAAAGGAAATGGCACGGAAGATACGGCCATTTAATGCGACACATACGTTTTCTTTTCCGCGGTTGTAACGGGGGCATTTTGCACATTTCCCTTTAACTTTTGAGTCATGTCACGAATCAAACAGTGAACACTGAACAGAGTAGTTCGGACAAGGATGGATCCGTTCACTACTGTGAAATAAACTGGCCTCATCTTCTCCCAAAGACATCTGATAACATGGCGTACACAAGCAACGGATCGCGCAAAAAGGGCAACCATTTACGTTCATGCGGATAACTAATTCTTACCTTCTAAATTCTAACAACAACGACGTTAAATTCGCAATGGATAGGTATGTCATAATCTGAAACTGAACTTGCGCCCTGCAATAGGCCTATCTTCTTTCTGTTAAGTTTACAGTTTGCTAACCGCTATGATGCGGCAAATCTAATCTGACCTGCACCGACTGATGAACAATGCACTGTGATTTCATTGGGCGGCCATTCCACTCGGTTTTCCCGGCACAGGGGCCGGTCAAGACGGCCAGGTAGGTAGTTCCGACACCTCGCCCGGGTAAAACCCGCCGGGGCCCCGGCTGACCGCGCCTGCAGACCGGGCCTCCTTCCCCAACCCACCTCCGCGCGCCCGTGCTGCTGCATCCCCACTGCACGGTGACGTCATCATAACGAGCCGTGACGTCACCAAAGTGCACCGTGACGTCACCAGGGATCAGCGGACTGCGAGCGGTGCTCTCCGCGGGGCAGAGGCACTGTCCTGGACGGTACCTGGAACGGGAGGTGTGCGAGCGCGCGGGCTAGCTGAATGCGGAGAGATGCATGCATGACTTCGCTATTGATCTGAAACAATCCTTCATGTTGAAGGCAAATGAATGATGAATGGTGGCTAAAAATGTCCATGCATGTGCTGTAAAGGTTTTCATTGTCGCAATAGATTCTTGCCCCATCAACATATTGGAGCGGAGTGATTGCATATTTTGAATGGATTTACAGTCGGCGCTAAATAAATATACGGCTATGATGCACATTGTGCAATGTGTATTTCCTTCCTCATATCTATGTGATAAATGTGAGCTTGTGTCGTGATCGCTGAGCGCATCTAGTTCCTAGAATGTTCCAACTTCCACGCACATTTATCATATTCACTGCGCTGAGATCATTCCCTTGGCGTTGGATTGAAAAGAGTTTACATTGATAACCAATGTCAATAATTAAATTGAGCAGGAAAAGACTCACAGTCCGATGTTGCAGATCAAGCCTTTACACATCCGGGTTCGCTCTAGCATCCGGTTTCTCACACTGCTCTCCTCTCTCTCTCTCTCTCTCTCTCTCTCTCTCTCTCTCTCTCTCTCTCTCTCTCTCTCTCTCTCTCTCTCTCTCTCTCTCTCTCTCTCTCTCTTTCTCTCTCTCTCTCTCTCTCTCTCTCTCTCTCTCTCTCTCTCTCTCTCTCTCTCTCTCTCTCTCTCTCTCTCTCTCTCTCTCCCTCCCTCCCTCCCTCTCCCCATCAGTATACCAGAGTACGCATATGTATACCAACCTTCGATCACCCCCATTGATCGGCCCAGTACACGATCACCTTGGCAGAGATCGCGCTATCTCCTGTGACCGGAAGCCGGGCAGGGCCACAACCAAGGCTCCCAACCATGTGGTGACAGTTCCGCCTTTGATAGTGACAACTGACAGGCCCGTTACATTCATCTACATTGGATGTGAGTTGAGATAGCAAACTTGTTCCTCGCACTTTCAACTGGTCTACCGGATCCCATAAATTGACTGAATGATCATCCAATCAAACAAATAAGGCAACAAATAATAGTGGATCTAAATGAATTCGTAAATGCTAAGATCAAATGGCAAATTTCAAACCTGTTATGTAGCCTCACAAACCTTAATGGCTGGGTGTTATTCAACATGAGTGTAGGTACTTATAAAAATACACCCATCTACAAAAATTAACCCGCGCCGGGCCGGTGCTCTGAGATTCCGCGCCGGGCCGCGGGGGGTGTTTGAACACCCCCCCCCCTTCTAACTCGGCTCCTGGGCCACGTAGCGACACGCGGTAAGCGGCAATCGAAAGAACGTCAAAAATAATGACGAAAACAATTCGGTCATTTTTTTGGTCAGGTCAAAGGTCAGGTCACCAGAGGTCACCAAAGGTAAAATGTTGACTATTTCAACATTTTGGAAACTGCCAACGGCTATCTCGGGAACCGATAGAGCTACAGCGCCGCAAAAAAGCGCATTCGATAGCCCTTTTACAGACCTTTCTGAGTAATGTTCTCAGATTTGACCTCAGGTCAACAGTGTAGCCTCCAGATAGAGCACTTCACGGATAGGCTTTTCAGGATCCGGCCCGGCCCATATCCGGCAAGTCATATCCAGATCCGCCCATTATCCATGTTTCTTTGAATTTCAAAATCCGGCCCGCCCATGGCCCGTATCTCAGCCATACATCCAAAAAATATCCATAATAATCCGTTTCATTACAAACCGGTTGTGAGACTATCAGCATATCGCCATAAGATCCAAACGTTGGACACTAGGAAGCTATCAAATTGTAATAACAGCAATCTTAGCCACTGCAAAATACATTTTGTGGTAAAAGCTGCATTGCTAAGGATAGGGGTAACACATTGACATGGACCTCAGCATTTCACAAGGTTGGCTATCATTAGAATTGTTAAGAATCTACTGTGGTCTATAAAAGGAAGAGTACTTATTCATATAGCAAAACCACAATCAATTAGTAAGTCAAATGGTAGGTAATAATAAGTATAATACAATGAATAAATAAAGTTTCATGACATTGGCAACATTCTATATGGGAAAAGGCAGAATCAAAACACCTCAAAACACATTGTTTGGAAACTAGCCTTGGAATGTGGTCTGACACACTCTACAAAGAAGTTGACACTGAAAACCCAGCTGAAAAGGTAGGTATTAAATAGCCTTGAGCCTGACTTTGGTCCTAAAATGAAAGGAAGATAAGTTAAACCGGCATTTTGTCGTATCAACAAGACGACACAACACAATACACAGACAAAATTGACGATAGTGGCGCAAAAAAGCAAGCAAGGATTGATTTTTTTAAGATCCGCTCTCTCTTTATGAAATAGGCGAGCTGATGACGTAATATTGATTCGTTTACCCTTTAAGTTGAATTTCTGATCAGAAAATATTTTTTGGCGTCATTTACACTGAAAATGTTGATAACATCAGAATTTAATATCGTCTTGGATCGTTTTTATTTCTAAAAAAAATCATCCACGAGGCATTGCGCCAAGTTTAAAACTTTTTTTTGCAGCGTTTTATTCAGCTGGTTAAAAGCATCTGTTATTGCGCATGTGTTTCTAACCTTGCGCAGTGTTTGTTGCTGTCTGGAAGATTGAAAAATTCGAGAACGCATTATCGTTTTTATACATATTATATGGGGACTGTTCTCAGGACAAGTGAGTTATTAACACATTTTTTTACATGATTCGTATCTTATTCAGGAACCAGCGAGCCATGGTGGATATGATGCCATGGCGTTTGTTCTCGCTTCCTCGGTTAGGAACATGGCTGAGTCTGCAGATTTTATGTTGTGACCATCTATATTTAAAAATTTGGTTGGTGCTGCCATATACCTTACAGACTATCATGGCTCACAAAGGTATGCTTATAAATCTCATGTAAATCAATTAATACTTCTGCTGCAGTGCCTAACAAGTTAAGTTACCTAATTCTTAACATGAATATTGAATGCTACAATTTTATCCGTTCTGATCCGTGTTCAACATTCAATTACCAAATCCGGCCCGCCCATAACCGTTCTATTTTTCCAAATTTGGGATCCAATCCTATCCGGTCCACGGATTTATCCGTGGATAACGGATTTATCCGGCCCATGAAGTGCTCTACCTCCAGAGGGCAAAAACTCCAAAAATAGCCGTTTTTACGAAAAACGGGTTTTCGGCAATAACTTTTGACTCAAAAGAGCTATGACATTACTTTTGCCAGCATCGTGTTCCTCTCGTCGAGACGCGTCGAATGAACTATAATTTGACCTTGAAAGGTCAACTTGAAAATTTGACCTCAGGTCAAGGTCATGACCTGACCGGAAAAGGTCATGTTGCATATCAGTCGATCCGCAACGTCGAGCCGAACACATCTAACGCGTTTTCAGCGCTCTAGCGCTCCTCTATCAGAAGTTATCATCGAAAAACTGTTAGATTCTGTTCGTGACCTGAGATGACCTCGGGGACATAACGAGGGGTCACAGTTGCCATTTTCTGGCTCAGTGTGTCTATTTTACCTACATCTCGATGTTTGAGAGTGTCTAGAATAGCGTTCGTGCAAAACAGACGCTTTTCAATTTTCTCCCATTGACTTATAATGGAGAGGCCGCAAAATTGACCTGACCTTAGGTCACCGATATCAAAATTCCGAGATATACATTTTATAGATAGTGTTGCTCTAATCAATCGCTGAAAGTTTCAAGGCAATCGTTCAGTCGGTGTAGCTATGACGAGCATTCTTATTTTTTCTGAGGTGAGGTCACTTGGCGTGACCTGGTGACCTGACCTAAGGTGACCAGTGTCGAAGCGCGACGGGCGCTTGACATTTATGGGCCGTCCTGACAGGTATGGTTGCGGTTGGTGGCAGGCCGTAGCCAGGCGAAGTCAGTGAGGGGACCGGCCGTGCGCGGCTATGTGCGCACGTTAAACTTTGGACTAAAAGTCTGCCATAGAGCTGGAATTGCGCGATCGGAGGGTAGAAGGCAGGGTCACCGCAACAAGCTTCGCTTAGCGGGGGCTCTGTCCTCGTGAATGATACCTTTCAAAAGATTCGGACGAAATCTATAAAAAATATATTCCGTTTTATAGAGTTATTCATGTTTGTTGTTTACAATTGTTTTCAAATAGTTATACTAAACGTCCCATTACCCATGAACGCC